GCTTTCCCGTGATTGAGCGCCGTTTGCCACTCTGGAAGTCTAGAATGTCCCATGCAGCGGTTGGCGGCACCAGGCACAGCAGACGTTAAACGTCTACCATCCCGCCAGGCATGAGTAAGGGACCCCACAGTCAGGACGATCTGTCCAACTGCTGCTGAGGCCCCCCGAGAACCAGCAGGCCGCTCCCGACAAGCTGCCGTTGTGCAACCAGAGGCGGTGGGACGGGCGCACGCCCACAAACCTGTGTTTGTTACCGCGTAGTGACGACTGCGTCCGGAACGTGTGTTCGGCCACGATTCGGGGAGAGAAGAGACGACGACTCGCGCGACGCCTGCGCTTATCGCCACCTACAGCTCCCAGAATGACCTGTGCGATGGTGTCAGCATATTGAAAACGAAGAGGAGGACCTAAGAAGAGATCGCACCAGAGTTGATGTGTGCGAACTTGGAGCCTAGGGTGTCATGTCGTGGGGAGCAGGTCGTGGCTGGAGGAGAAGCGCACAGAGTACTTATACATTTTCTCGAGGTTGACAAGCAGGTCACGCATATGTTTGTTGAACTTGAATCCACAAACACCCACTGCGTGTTTGTATATGTTTGTTTTTGCATTCACTGTGTGTCAGACCCAGCTATAGAGGGCGCCAACAGGTTTGTTCAGGGGAGGTATGAGGATCTAAGCACGGGGTACTGTTAGAAGGCCTATGAAGAAGAAGGATGCCCATGTACAGATATCTCCGACTATATTTTCGTAACCTGTGCGTGAGCATATGGGCAGTGTTGAGGGCAGCTATGAAGTTTGGTGCTAGGGTGCCCGCTCAGACCTATCTAACCAAATAGCAGAGCAATAGTGACCTTAAATAGATCAGGAATACAGAAGTGAAAGGAAATAACAAAGGCTTCATTACATTGCTTTGGCAGAGGTAATCAGACTACTTACAGCCCGGCTAGCCAGATCTGAACACATGTAACACTTAGCTTGTTATATTGTTTGTGAGCAGATAACAATAGTCCTTATCAGCCTTCTATTCGCGGCTGTGATCATATAGAGGTGCCCAGATAGACAACTTCAATTTATGTCACAAATATGCCAAAATATAATATAAACATTGGTTTTCTCTTCTACACTGGCTTGGCTCCTTCTCCTCTTCCCAGCAACTAGTATATCTCAATCACCGTCCCTCTCACAAAATCACCATGCCTCGTTGCAGTGTTCAGAACGGTCCCGCGCCACCGCCGCCACCATCTAGCGTCTTTGCCGGCCTTACACCTGCGGGGTGGGCCGCATACAGTGCATTCAAGCGTGAGCTGAAGGTGAACAACCTCAACTGCGAGCCACCTAACATGAAGGAATGGCGCGAACTCACCAGAGCACCTATGCAGGGTCAGGTCGTGGCGACGGATGGCACAGCGCAGCGCCGTGAGGCTATAGTCATTGATCCCTCTCTTCTTGAGGGTGCTTCTGGGCGCCGCGGTTGGAAGAGAAAGCCAGAGAGTGATGACTCAGAGGAAGATAATTGCCGTTATCACCATCGCCACTGCAAAGACTATTCAAAGTCTAGTAACAACGGCAGCAGTGAGTCCAAGTCATCAGAATCGTCACCTGAAGCAGCGTCGCTGTCATCTGGCAAATCAAGCGAGTCTGATGGTGAGGAGGACGAGCCGCGCCTCATCCTGATGGCTCCAAAATCCAACCTGAGCAAACAAGAGGTGAAGGGAGAACTCATGGTATGCACCATGATCAATATTTGCTATCAATATATGTGCATATATGCTGACCTATGGTTCCAACATCAACAAACAGAGGTGAACGTAGATTTTTACAACGTTACCAGTCTTGGCAGGAATCCTTTCATCATGCGTCGCAGTGATCCCGAGCCCCCGACTCCCACTTCGGGCTCCAACTATCTTCTTATTACATGGGGCAAAGATGTCGACCACCCGGTAAATAGGGCTATCGTTGAGCAAATTGCGCGGCTTGTATATAAGAAACAAATGGTTAGTCCATTCCATTGGATGGAATACACAACACAAAGCCACTCACCGACTTGGCTAGAGTAAGAATACGTATATAAGAAGGCCAGGTTTACTCTGAGTGACATCCAGGAGATGGTGAAGCGGCGCATTTGGATCTGGAAGATGTTGTACAGTCAGAAGAAGGACCCAGCTAGGGCCGAGAAGTGGTTCAATAATTGAGACAACGGTCAATGAGCTGCTCGTCAGCGAGAGGCGCGTAAACAAATATTGTTTCACTTATCTTAAGCTGCCGAGTAGTGAGAATTAATGACTCGGGAATGAAAAGAATTTACCTGGCAACAACTCCGCGGTAGAAGAAGCCGGCAGCGTGGATAGATGGTCAGGATTGTGTGGTACGACACTGCCGAGCGGAGAGCCTTGGTCACGGTCAGGCGTTGAGGTTGCGGTGACTATATGCGCCATAGCTGCACTCCCCACATGAGGTGCAGCGTTGTTGGTGATTGTGAAACTAACTGAGGGTGGAGGAGGAGCCGCAAGCATGCTTGTGTCGGAGGCGGGCTGGCACTGCGGCACTAGCAGCAACGGCAGCGTTCTTCTTCTTCTTCGTGTGACGTTGAGCAAGGAACTCGTCGAGTTATTTCCTTGGCTGTATCGCTCTCGCTGCTCAATTCTCCACCCGCCGGTGTGACCCCACAGTTGCGCTTCGCACGGCTACACCGGGTGTGGCACAGCACGAGCCCGCCATTGCATCAGGAAACAGCGTCTTGCTGCGTAGCAGGGGCGTCTACTACCACCAGCCACCGCGTCTGCGCTTGCCGCTTAGTGCATGCGCAAGGCTCAGGAGAGCCTGGTAGCACTTAGCAGCTGCTCATATGCACCACCTAACTCTGGCTAATTTCTTGCGCCATAGACTAGATTTGTATGTAAAACATGTGCTTACAACATTAGTGAATGAAACTAAATAGTATACAAAATTTTGATCATGACACTTGAAGCGTGAAGTACTGTCCGAAGGTGGTATACTCTTCATTTGCTCAAGTACGGGAATGTCTGCCCTAAATTAACGGATGATGGCACGGCCGATGGTAACAAGCGCCCGAACATCCCTCGTTCCACGTCACCACCGCGCTGCGTCAGCCTATGTCGGCGGTGTCAGTCAACGGGCAACGCGTCGACGCCATACACGTCCTTGTGTAAGTTATGTTCTTCTAACATATACCATACCCTTCTCATGAGCAGTGAGGTCGCATTGTCATGCGCGGAGCAGGTGCACAAGCCTCAGAGTAGCGAAACAGCGTTTTGCGCGCAACCAAGAAGCCCCTGAATGATACGACAAGCACGACAGGCCACAAGAGTTAAGGGTGCGATGACCGCGTTGCTGCTAGGATATCCGCAGCTGTTGAGGGCGGCGCAGCCCTCACCG